ACCTCTAGTAATATATTTACTGAGAAAAATGGTGACGTGTTCAATACTTATTTTACCCGCTGTATGTCACGGTGTTCCTGAGCAAGACACTTATTCCTTAATTACTCTCTGGGTGCTTCAGTAGCTGCCCAAGTTCTGGATCAAAGTTGGAGACAAATGTCAACACTCTCTTTCAGTTTCAGAAGACAACTGAACTTCTTGGTTCTTGAAGATGTTTCTCCTCTCATCTGAAAGGTTCTGATCATTGGTTGGGAGTTCCAGCCTTAAAGAGTTGTTGCTTCTTTGGATTTATTGTTTTTTTGTACAGTGCCCTGAGACGATGTTAGTTGTGCCTTGGTGCTGTGTAAATAAATAGAATTGAACTGAATTAATTTCATTTAATTTTCCATTTTCTCGTGGGCAGAGAATTGGGTGTGATGGCATTGTCGGCTCATCAGCAGAGGAAGATGTTTGTGGTGTTTGTAATGGACATGGACGCTCCTGTAAAATAGTGAAAGGAGAGTTTAACCACACCAAGGGAATGGGTGAGTGTCTTTGTTTTTTATTTATAAAGAGTTTATTAAAGCAATGAACAGGATGGTTGCTTATAATGAAAATACAGAAGAGATTTACTGCATAAAGGAAAAATCTGATCAAATCATTGATGTTTTTGTAGAATTATTGAAAAAGTAAAAACTAAACTATAGCAAGTAGAATCAATCCTAAAAACAAGAGGCATATTATTTGTACAAAATAAACATTTCTCACTCATTTTAAACACAACAAAACAAGGTTATGTTAAATGACTGAGTAGGAAGTGGGAAGTGACGGCTGGCGTTCATGTTAAGACATGTTGTGTCACTTCCTGCTTTGCTGCTGGAAGCTTGTGAAGTTTGTTTGCTCAAGGGTTCTCCTAATTTACTGGATTATCTAACTTTTACACAGTTCAACATCTAGTACAAAACATCAACGATACAGTTGTTTTTTGTGTTTTTATCTTTCAGTACCTCTTGGTTTTATTGGTGTGTTTGGGATCTGCTAGCTCTTGCTAGCATTAGCTTAGCATTGCTACTCTTTCTCTCTCAGCTTCTTCTATCCTCACTTGCTGTGTGTGTCAGATGTTTATTTACTCCCCTGCCTCCTTTAGTAATAGAGACATGTAATAAATGCAGTCTCATGGTAGCTTTAGAGGTGAGGCTGTCTGAACTGGAAGATCAGCTCCAAACCATCAGTGTGAAACCTCAGAGTAGCTCCTGCTCCAGTTAGAGGTTCTCCAGCAGACTGCATGCAGCCAGGACCCCAGGCCAGCTGGGGGGCTGTCAGKAAGCACAGTGTTAAGGCCAAAGCCAAGCTCCCAGTTCACCCTCAACTTGTTCAAACTGATTGTCCTCACTCAGCAACAAACCCAGGTAATCGGCAACTTCATGGTCCGAAATGTGGCACTGGGGACTCCAGTGACCACAGTCAAACACATACTGGGGTCAGAGCGGGCGACGTTGCTAAGTACTGCAAGATTGTTATTCAAGTCAGTAGTAAAGACAACTGGTTACACCAATCAGAGGTCACTAAAATTAACGTTGCTTCAGTGTGTAACTTTGCAAAGATTATGTTGGACTCTGTAGTTTCCTCTGGTCCCCGCCCCAACCTGACTAGGATGACATGTTTAGTCACATGTTCCACCGCTGGGTGTCCAGGTGGTGTTCTGAAAACAACGTGGAGATGGCATCCACTCCACCTGTGCTGGAGCCGCTCTCCTTTCTAGGGATCTGGATGATTTGTGGACCAAAAAATTATTGACAATCCAGGGTCCAGACCAGGAAGCAGAGTTGATGGTTAATAGGAGGGTTTCACGTGACGTCACCATGCAGCGCCACGAGAGCGCCAAGGTCGTCTGGAGGTCAGGAAGTGAAAAACTGGAGGATCTGAAGAAATGTCCATATCTTGTGTAGTTTACGGTGCTCCAATCATTCTAACCGAATTAATAATAAATAATTATACACTGATTAAATT